CTGTCTTAAAAAAAAAAAAAAAAAATTAGCCAGGGCGTAGTGGCGGAAGCCTGTAATCCCAGCTACTCAGGAGGCTGAGGCATGAGAATCACTTGAACCTGGGAGGCGGAGGATGCAGTGAGCCGAGACTGTGCCATTGCACTCCAGCCTGGGCAACAGAGGGAGATTCTGTCTCAAAAAAAAAAAAGAAAGAAAGAAAGAAAAAAAAGATAATCCCTCACTCCCTGAAGGCCCACCCTACTATCCTTTTCTTTTCCCAAAAAATAAAATTCAGGAAGAGGAAAGCAGAACAGGTTGTACCTCATACATAAGCACACACACATTTTCACACACACACACACACACACACACGCGCCACTTATACCTATCATCACCACCCTGGATTTCCTAGCCCCAGGGTGAGGGCTATGAGGGGTCAGGGGTCAGGTTCCCCTGGACCCTAGTCCTTGTTCCCTTCCCTGGTGCTAAATAAAAGTGAATAAATACTAAATAAATACAACTGGGGCCCAGGCCCACCCTGCCTTCCCCCTCCCTCCTGTGACCCGCAGGGCAGGGGGGGCAGTTTAGATGGAGGGCTGTCTGTCAGCCCCTTCCATCCACTAACCCGTCACTGCCTCCCAGGGCAGGAAACCAGGGCAGGGCCAGCCTGCACATTAGGGTGAGAGGAGGGGCAGGTCTCACACCCGCAGCCCCTCCCCACTGAGTCTTAGCATGAGGCAGCAACAGAAGCTCTCTCTTTCTCCCAGCTAAGTCCGAGGCCCCGGTGCCCAGAAAGGGCAGCCGGGATAGTGAGGTTATTTCCTGCCCGCCCAGGGGCGCCGCCGAAGGATCTCCAGAATCTGTGCTCTTCGGTGCAGCCAGTCCTGGGGAGTGGGGCGTGGTGTTGAAGGGGTTGGCCGTGGCACAAAGAAGCTGTATCGGAGGCGTGCATCCTGGGGGTTGCCAGCCACTAGGACTTGCAGTGTCAAAGGCTGGGCCAGTGGCCCATGGCCTGACAGTGTCTCTGAGGCTGCAGTGGCTCCGCTGTAGCGCAGGCTGACTGCCCCAGGTAGTACCACATCTGTGGGGGAGGGCATCAGTGTGTATTCACCATTGAGGGCATAGGAGCCATCTGGCAGCTTCAGGGCCAAGTAGATGCTCCGGTGGCCAGGGTTTCCCTGCTGCCGGACAAGAATGTGGGTGGCCCCTGCGGGGATAGTGACCACACTGTTGTATCCGTACCTGTGTGGAAGGAGTAGATGGAGAGCTCAGGATCACCTGAATCCCCTCAGCTTTCTGAGCTGTGTTTATGTGACTGCATGTGTGTACATGTGTAGATGGTTGTCACCCCTATCCTATATGAGCTGTTCAGTCTGGATCAGAGCTACATGCACATGTGCCCTTTTGCCTCTTATCTCTGGACCTTTACACCCACTGCCCCCTTATTGAGGTGCCCTTCCAAGTCCCACTTCCTTGGTACCTGTCTAATTCCTACCCTCCTTCTGAGACTCAGCTCAGAGGTCACCTCCAAGGAAGCCTTCCCTGATGTCCACAAGGGCACTCACAACACCCTGTTCCGACCTCGGATGAACACATGGGACACTGCACTGTAGCTGCCTACTCATCTATCTCCCGCTAGACTGTGAGCTCTTTGAGAGTAGAAACAGTGCTGAGTTCCCCTCTGCATCCCCAGGACCCAGAATGTCCAGGAAGGTAGAGGGAGGAATGACGGTGAAAGAACCTGAATTTTTTGAAAGAGCCTGACTGCTTGCTGCAGCCAGAACCGTCCCCTCCGCACACCATGCACTTGTCAAACTTCTTCTTGGAGCCAATGATGCGGTCACAGCCAGCATGGATGCAGCGGCCCTGGACACAGACCGAGGAGCTGTCCGGGGAACAGGGGGTCCCATCTACCACCTGAGGAGAAGAGAAAGAACAATGCCGAAGGTTCCTCCTAAGTCAAGAGGGGTTGGTTGGTAAGTCAAACAAGACCCATGTCCCATCAGGGAAGGGATGTCGGAAAAGTTGGATGAAGTAGGGGATGTAGATGGGTGAGTGCCAGGCACCATGTGGGTGATAATCATAACAATAATAATTATTATCACATATAACATCTAGCCAGCATTTTCAGAGCACTAAGTATGAATCACATAGCATGCTAAGTGTTTTACAAACACAAACGTAAATCTCACCACCACTATTTGAGGTTTTTAGGGATGGAATGTTGAGGTTTAGAAAGGTTAAGGAACCTGTCCAAAGGCCACACAAATGGCAAGCAGAGGAGCCAAGATGGGAAGTGCAGGTCTGTCTGGTCCTAGCACCAAGCCCTAAACCTTCATGGCACTGTCCCTAAATGGACGCTAGAGGGCAACCAGCCTGTAGAAATTCTCAGGTTGGGGCGAAGGGAGCAAAACGCTCCTAGGGCTTGTTTTTCTTTGTGCAGCCTTCAACCCACCACCCTATCACAGAGACGGAGTGTAGGGACTTCAGTCATCTCCAGAAGGCCTGTCCATTGAGGGCTGGCTGTCCAGGAGCTGAATGAGGCCAACACTATAATTTGACAGAGAAGCCCATGGAAGAGGGGTCAAGGACTTGCCCCAAAGGCCACACATTCCATTCTCACCAAATGCAGCACTAGAAGATGGGGAGTCAGAGGAAAAGAAACCACAGGAAATAGGATAGGCTAGAGGGACCTACTGGCCAAGTATCTGGAGTCTGGGGCTTGTTTTCCTGATACCTATGTACAGATAAGTCTGAGTGGAATCCTGGACTGGGCTGGCATGGCTGTGGGAACAGGGTTACTTTGGGGGATCTTTGTCATCAGAAAGCAGAGGGAGCACGGGGCGGGGGTGTGACCATAGACAGGGCCTGGGGGTGTCCTGAACCTCACCCGTGGCTCCAGCACGTAGTAGTAGCCCAGTGCCCGGGCCTGGCAGGTGAGTTTGCACTGGTCTTGGGGGGCCACGCCTGTGTAGCGAGGAACCCAGTCCATGGGCCCTGGGAAGCTCTTGAAGAGGTCGGTGCGGTGGTTGTAGGCAGCACACTGTTCCTCGCGGAAGGTCAGGGCTGGAGGGGTAAAACAGTCAGAGCCCCTCCTTCCTCACATCACCCCACACCCCTCCACCCAGCCCCTGAGAGCTCTAGACAGCACAGCTCTGCTCTTCCCCACAGACGGCCAAGGACAATTCCCAGAGGTTAAAGGCACTCCCCACAACAGCAGGGGAATCAACACCCCCTTTGTCTTGCACTCAAGGGACAGTCCTTCCTGCTCTACTGTCCCCTCCCAAGGGCTCCCATCCCTGCTACTCCTCACCTGAGCCAGTTGGGCAGTCCTCAGTGTTGCAGGAGCGGAAGCGGGTGCGACGGCCCTCACAGTACTTGCCACCATTCCGGGGGACAGGCCTAGTGCAGTCTCGGGAGGAGAACTGGACACCACCCCCACAGGTCCGAGAGCAGTCACCCCATGGTCCCCAGGGACCCCAGCCACCAGCCTGTGGAGTCTGCAAAGGCACAGAATGGAAGTGGGGCATAAGTGAACTCTCTCCCGGGCTTAGGGCTGGTCCCCACACCCTGGGGCCCTTTACCCCACCCCTGCCCTAGGATCTCACATTGAAGTCCTGGAGCTGGTCCATGTGGAGGCAGCGACCACCCATGCAGGCTTGTGCGGGCCCGCAGGGTGTGCCATCGGCCCAGGGCGAGTGTTTGGTCTGGCACATGGCATGGCCATTGAGGTGGCCAGAGCACCAGAGGGCAGCACAGGGCGGTGGCAGCTGTGGACAATGGCGTGAGTCGGGCCCGAAGGTCAGCTGGCACTGGCGGTCAGCATCATAGTCCTTGCCAGGGAAAGTCACGGGCAGATGCAATGGAGCCTCTGGTTTATCTAAGAGACAGTGCCCTGAGAAGGGGGTTGGGACACAAAGTCAGCAACGGGCTGAGGGGAGCATTCAGGATTGCCAGCAGAAAGCTTAGGCTCCCTGGGGCCTGATGGAGCCTATAAAAACAATCCTAGGACTATAAGAGAATTAAAAATTTTTTAAATTTATAATTTATATTTTAATTACTTACTTTTTTTTTTTTTTTTTTTTCAGAGACAGAGTCTTGCTCTGTCACTCAGGCTGCAGTACAGTGGCATGATCATGGCTCACTACAGCCTCAAACTTCTAGGCTCAAGCAAACTTCCTGCCTTGGGCTCCTAAGTAGCTGGGATTACAGGCATGTGCCATGTCCAGCTAATTTTTTGGAATTTTTTGTTGCCATAAGGTCTTGCTATGTTGTCTAGGCTAATCTCAAACTCCTGGTCTCAAGCAATCCTCCCACCTCAGCCTCCCAAAGCATTGGGATTACAGGTATAAGCCACTGTGCCTAGCCCTGTAAGAGGCTTTAATGGGCAACTATAATTTATTGGATGCTTATTATGTGATGAACATTGGCTAAATGCTTGACCAGCATGTATTTAACCATGGCAAATACCTATGAGATAGGTACCACTATTATACTTATCTGACATATCAACTACAAACACAGAGAGGTGAAGTAACTTACAGTCACACATCTACACCTGCTTAAAGAACAGAATAAGAGGCCAGGCATGGTTGCTCAATGCCTGTAATCGCAGCACTTTGGAAGGCTGAGGTGGGAGGATTGCTTGAGCCTAAGAGTTCGAGACCAGCCCAGGCAACACAGTGAGACCTCATCTCTATTTTAAAAACAAACAAACAAACAAACAAAATGGAATAATGATAGGAACTCAGTTCTGCCTATTCTAACCAACTATAGAATACTTGAGTTTGCTTCTCATCAACATCTCTGCCTAGTGGCAGTCATCCTGCTATTCTTGCATACCTCACTGCGTGACAAGGTAATCACATCCTTCACAGCCAGCCCATTCCAGTGGTGGACAGTTCTGGCCCTCAGAAGGTCAGTTCTAATTCTACTGAGCCAAAATTCACCTCCTCTAGCTATGCTATTTATTCTGGGAGGAAGTGAGAACTACACAAAGACAGCAGCATTTCTCACCCCTTCCCACACTGCAGAGGAAGCACACTTGGGGGAGGCAATTTGGCCCATGCAGGATGCAGCAGAAGTGAGAGTGCCCTGGAGGACAGGAATTGAGTCCTACCCAGGGAAAGGTAAGTGCCATCTGCTTACCATAGCCATTGTCCAGGAAGTCAGTGATGAAGCGGGCACTGCAGGGGGACCAGGGCTCCTCAGGATCCACATGAGCCATCACAGGGGCCATGACATGGCGAGAGGTGCTCAAAGGCCCATTCAAACTGATGCATGGCTTGGAATTGTCATGGAGCATGTTGAAGACATGACCTGTGGGAGCAGAGGCCCTGATAGGATCTGAGGGTCCCTTCCTCATGCCCTGAGGGACTCCATCATAAATCTGGCTGCAGCTGTGGATGATCAGATCCATTCCCCACTCACCCTGCCCCCAGTCCCTTTCTTTCTGGTACTCTCAGGGCTCCCAGTATGTAGCCCCATCTCTTTCTCTGTCTCCTCTTCCCCAAAATATACTCCAGGCCCCTCCCTATCCATTTTTCCTTATAGCCAACATTCCCAACTGTGACCCCAGCGATTCCCTCTCTGACTTCCCCTCCAAATACAAACACACACACACACACACACAGAAAGAGAGAGAGAGAGAGATCACAGTAGTTTCTACCAACTAATTTAATACAAAAATGTAAATGTATGTCTACACCTGGAGCAGAGAGGAGTAATAGCCCTATACCTAGGCCTAGGGGAAGAATACCTTGGGGCCCCCATTAACACTGTGGTGAACTTAGTACCCCCTCCCCCACCTTCTCCTCCCTAATACCTTTCTCATCCACCCCTACTTTACCCAGTTCATGAGCTGCAGTGAAGGCCGACTGGAGCCCATCATCCTCCACGATAGCACAGCTCCGAGCCGGGTCACACACGGTGCCCACATCAGCCATACCCAGTGTGTCGCAAGTGGAGACTCCACACAGGTCCTGTGGAGAGGGATCATAGAAGGTGCATAGACAGCCAAGACACCTGGGTCCATTGGGTTGAGATCTAGATTCCTAGGGACCTGGGCACTGAGGACCCAGCACTGTCAGGGCCTAGGTAGCCACACATGGCAGTGTGGCTGGGGCAAGGCACCATGTCACACAACTCCAGGAATATCATTTGCATCATAGTCTATGTAGTGGTGCTTCTTAGAATTGTGCAGTGCATGGCCTGCGGTGCTGACTGGGGCCTCACCTGACGGGTAAACAGAATGGCTGTGTCAAAGTGGTCAGGGTCCGAGTCCTCAGGGGTGTTGAGGCCCCGCTGCCAGGCACAGAAGCTGCGCAGGGTCTGGGCAGCACTGGGCCCCACTTGGGGCCCCTCCTCGCCTGACCCCAGGATCACTAGCCGAGTCACCACCAAGCTGACAGGATTGCGGATGCTTGGGTGCTTGAAGGCCTTGGCCGCTGCTGCCATCACTGTTAGCAGGTAGCGCTTCAGCCCTGCACCGTGGAATGCGGCCATCTTGTCATCTGCTACCACCAGCGTCTCCACGAATCTACTCAGTGAAGCAAAGCGCTGGAGAGAAAAAGGGAGAGGAAGAACCTGAAATAGCCTCTCAGACCCATGGGTTGGTCGATTCTGCAATCCCTCACTTCCTGGGTCTTGAACTCAGCATAGTCAGCTGCCCGCCCCCCACCTCCCCCCCCACCCCGGGATTCCTGACTCCTGGCGGGTCTTGGTTGGGCCCTTCCCCCAACACCAAATCCCAGAGCTTTTGTGGTAACTCTGAGGAGTCAGCAGCTGGTTCTAAGAAGGGGAGGAGAAGGGGATGCCACATCCCAGGGCTGCGGGAGCCCCAGAGGTGAGAGCCGCCTGGACTGCCGTCAAGAGGCACTTTGGGGTTCTCCAGGCCTGAGTGTGGCTGGGACCTATGGGACCAGGGCTAGAGGGCTGGGCTGCAACGTGTCTGCCCTGTGTGGTTGGAGGAACGATTCAGTCAGCAGCTAGGGCCAGGGCCAGAGCTCAGCGTGGCGGGTGTGGAGGGAGCGTCTGGTCTGGATTAAAGCTAGAGAGGGAGGAGGGAGGAGGGAAGGGAAGAAGCGGGAGACCAGGAGTGGGAGGGAGGAAAGGATGGAGCTTCAGGCAGCCTCGCAGTCCGGCCACAGTGTGGGAAGGGGATTGACCAGAAGGAGGTATGGGATACCCTCCCTCTCTCACCACTCCTGCCCTAGTTTGCAGTTTGCCACAGTGATTTTAAAGGCAGCATCAGAAGCCAGACACCAAGCCCTAGGGCCTCAAATCTCACTCCTTTAGCTGGGGGTGAGGATGAAAATCAAATTTGGGGCAGAGAAAAGAGCCAAGGCCAAGGGGCTGTTAGGAGACCTTTACTGCTGGGGACTGTGCCAGTAGGAGATGCCATGGCCAGGAAGGGGTGGGGTGGGGAGGGGGAGCAGTTATTCCCAGCCCAGAGTCTCTGACCCACCTCTGAGAACCCTTGGTGGGTCTGGCTAGGAGAAGGGTGAAGGGGAGAGGCCTGAGCCTTACCAAGAAAGGAGGCTCATGGAAAGAGGAAAGGCAGGCAGAAGGGAGGGAAGCAGAATGGCCAGAAGTGGAAGTGGGTGGAGAGAGGGTGAATAGGGGTCAGTAGGACAGACATGGCGGGAGGACACCGCAGGACACAGACTCCAGGGCTGCCTACCTTGGCTCTTCGGGGTCTGGGGCTGGGGCTTCCAGGAGGAGCCTTGACGTTGCACATGGGACCTTGGCCGCTGGCAGGACTCTTCCGGCGTAGGATGTGAGCCCCAGGTCCCCCAGCGGAGTTAGGGGTGCCTCCCTCCAGGGGCTGGAGGTGGAGTTCAGCCCCCCGATACTGTAACACCCCTAACAGGGCTCCCCCATCCCAGTGCAGAGATGCCACCGACTCCGGATCTCCATTGATGGTGCCAGTCAGGTAGGTGCCAGGTTCTGCTCCACCCAGCAGCTCAGGCGCCTGGCCCAGGTACTGCACTGTCAGCCCCTCGACCTGCACGCCGGAGTCCTGCTCCAGCTCTAGTAGCAGCGTCTCCCCAAAGGCCTGCAAGCGGCACAACAGCCTGGCAGGGGCGCCCGAGCCAGGCAGGACGCTGCCGTTGAGCTTCTCTGGAAACACGATCTCCTCCTCCCGGGGGAGGGGGCTGGCCAGCCAGGCCGAGGGCAGGAGAGAGGCCAGCAGTAGCAGAAGCAGCCACACCAGCCAGGAGAGCGGCACAATGGGGAGCAGGAGGCAGGGTTGGGCTCCCCACAGCCAGCGCCCCGCCAAGCCCCTCCCGGGATGCGCGCCTGTCTGGGACATGGCACTGGTACTGGAGCTGGGAAGGACTGAGGCCGTCTGGGGCACCAAGTCTTCCACACCCTAGCTTTGGAAAGCTCCTCTCTGTTAGCCTGGGGGCTTGGACTCCTGCCAAGGTCAGAGGCAGTTTTCAGAAGGGCTGGGGACCTTTAAAGGAAATGGAGAAAACTTAGTCCTTGGGCTTGGGAGAGGCGCCCAGGGGTCTGGCTTCTCCAAACTCTCCTCCTGAGCCCTCCTTTCCTGAATCTTTGCCTTTCCCTGCCTGTGTCTTCTGCAGCTTCTCTGGCCTCTCCCTCTGTAGGAGGACTCTGTCTGGGCCGCTTCTGTGCCTGCCCTGTCTCTGCCTTCTTCCGCTGTGCCTTTGTCTCTCTTTCCTCCTCTGTCTCTCTCGTGCCTATGTGTCTGTGGGTCTCCCTGTGGGTTCTCCCCAGCCTCTCTCCGCGCCAGCTCTTTTAAGCATGGTGAGCCTCTGCGATTGATTGGCTGATCTCTAAGCCACTCAGCTGAGCTCTGTCGGTGGGACTCAGATGGGTGTATCATCGCTTCCCAAAAAAATGGGACTTGCCCAGGGGAGGGGAATCTCTAGCAGTCGAATGGATAATAGGCACTGGGCCAGCTGATGACATAGCCTTTTCCCAAACTCCACAATCAGCCCTCAGCTGTCTCTTTCCCTTTTTGGTGGGACAGAGCCCCAGGAGAGGCAGAGAGTGAGGGAAAGGGCCTGGCCAGCATGCACAGATAGGATCACGGTCCTGGGAGAATTTCTGCTCTTATAGTCTAACCTAGCATGGCCTCTCTTTTCTCAAGGTTCCCTCATGCTGCCCTTTGGCCCTAGTGGCTGGTTTCCAGGGCTGCGGGGACTGAGTGAACTGCCTGAAAAAAGAGGGTAGGGAACAGGTAAGGAGACATCAAGAGGGAAGAACAAAGAAAGGAAGTAACTTGACATGGCTCAGGATAGAACTGAGCAACTGGGAAGAGTAAAAGAGGCAGAGCAATGGGGGAGGCAAGGAGACAGTGATCAGGGAGCTGACTGCCCAAAGGTAGGATGATCCTGCTTGGAATGAACGTACTGGAGGCGGCAGATGACAAGGCAGGAGGGGTTAACGACTTTTCCTTTTATAGGCTGATCCAGGGTGGCACCTCCTCTTTTCTAATGTCCCTTCTCTCCCTCAGGATCCCGCTTCCTGAGTTACCACTACCCACCCCCTCCAAAGCCCAGAACATCCATTCCGCCTCCGTTTCCCCCCAGGGTTCCCCCTCCCCACTTCCTGACTCCCCATTTCCCTGGCCCAGCTCCCAGTAGCTTCCCCCAGGCTTTTGGCCCTTCTCCTACCCACTCCCAACTGCCCTAAACCCTCCCCCAGCCTCAAGTCAGCCAGCCCCCAGCATAGGCAAGACTTGCTCTCAGGAACCCAGATTCATCCAGTATCAGTCTGGGGGAATCCCCACCTGGCTCCCACCACCCACCCCACCTTGCTCTGAGAACCCATTGGTTCCTGGAATATCTAGTAATCTTTTCTTTTTAATTCTCCCTGTGGCAGGGAGAGGGTGGAGGCAGCATTGTGCTTATAGGGAAATTAGGGTACTGGGAGAAATCCATTGCCTGGGGTGGGAGAGTGGCTGGGGAGGAAGAGGTGGTGTTAGGGAAGGAAGCAAATTATTCCTTTGACTTTGGATAGGAGGGAACTCGCAAAAGAGGTCTTGGGTGTGAACTCTCAAGGCAAGGAAGGGTTCAGAAGTAGGGGCAATTTCTGCTCACCCCATCCTCTGGCTGCTTGTTTCCCCAGGAAATCCCCAGGAAGGAGAGTGCAGTCAGCAGTCCCTTTCCTTTCCCAGAAGTGGACCACCTCCTACTGCCTCTATTCCCCTATTAACTCTGCTTTGTCACCTCCTGTCCCCAGCATATCATATCCGTCAGAATACTTCCTTTCCCCCTCCCTTCCTGCTCAGGTCGGTAATACCTGCCCTGGTGCCTGTCACTTCCTGGATCACCCACCCCCTTGTGACTGCCAGACCCACCTCTTGACCCACCACTTGCCTGACCCTGGTTCTAAGCCAAGGGGGCTGGGACTAGAGGAGTCAGACAAGGGATGGGAGACCAGAAGGGGCAGGGGCAAGAGGAGCTATCACCAGAGAACTCTACTGCCCCTTTCCACTCCCCTATTTGAGATGAGGACAAAGGGGGTGACTAAGCAGTGAAAGACAAAGGGCTTTAGAGTGGCTGCAGCAGTGTGTGGGGGGGTGTTGGCAGCCGGGAGAAGGCACAAAAGCTGCAGTGTCCTAGGCAGCCCCTCAGGAGCCCCCACGCCAGTCCCAGCTCAAGCTGCCCCCAGGGCCAAGCAACCCAGAGTCTATCCTGACTTCTCCCAGGCTGGATCAAGGCAAATAAATGCAATCCTTCCCATCCCCCACGACCATGGCCACATTTGCTGTGTTTCAACAATAGACAGAAAGAAGACCCAGGGAAAGAGCAAGGAATGAGGAGAGCAGAGGGACCAAACCTCTGCCCTGGCTCTGTGGCAGCTCCCTTGTCTAGCCCAGGTCCTGGTCAGTTCCCACAGCCAAGGATCTGGCCCCACCCTTTGGTACAGTTCCCATTAGGTCAATTCCCAGGCCAGAAGTCTGGCTTTCCCCTCTTTCTCTGCAGTGAAGAATTCCTCCGTCTCTGCTTCCTGGTCTGTCTGCCTCACCCTGCTGCGCTGCTGGTGGGCTGTGTCCCAGGGATCCTGTCTAGGGGATATCTGGGGAAGGCGTCTTTCCAGGCTCAGAGTTGGAGAGTTGTACAGACTCTACGGGTGGGTGGCCCAGCTGGAGTTGGGCTTAGAGGCAGAGGGAGAAAACAGGAACTAGCCTCTAAGGCTGGAAAAGTCTTTGTCCATACAGAATTGGGATCACACTCCTGGTGCTACTACATTTCCATGCTGTTGGCCATTACCCAGGAGGGCTATAGCAGGGTCAGAAAGACGTTAGGGAAAAGTGGCTGACGCAGGACGGAAGTGGGGTGTGAGGCATCTCTAAGGGCGCTTCCTGGGTCTATGATTCTGTAGGTTCGGGAAGCCTGGCGGATGTCAGGGTCACCCAGAGGACTCCATTCCCCCATGTGGGATGAGGTGGCTCCTACACACCCCGATACTCCCCTCCGCACCACCAATGCCGGTGGCCTTGGCAATCCTATTCTTTTTTGTTTTGGTTTGGCGGGAGCTCTCAGACCCGCCCAGCCCCACTTAGGCTCCTTTCTCCAATCTCAATTTAGGACATCTGGAAATTAGCTGGCTTTCCCGACTCCGATCTTTTGGATTCAGTGATGGGAAGGTAATTGGCAAAGCCTGGGGCTACCCTATAAGGGCAGGGCTCAGATACAATCCGAGAGCAGGACTAAAGCGGGAGGACGGCCAAGGCGGAAGGGAGTAGGGAAAGAAGCGCCGCACGTTTCCGAGATGCGCAAGCGGGCTCGGCGAGAGAGCACGAAGTATTTGCCCCTCGCAGGAACGGCAATTTTTTTCCCTTGCTCGCTCCTAGAAAAGCCAGCCAGGAGCTGTGGGAGGAACCGCCCTCAGTAAAGATGATGGCTGTCACCGTTATCTAAACGCAAGTGAAGCCGAGTCACAGGACCCGGATGTTTTCAGGTCGACGGTAAACGACCCTGCCAGCTTCCAAAAGGGCGGCTTCACTGTGCGAATAGGTGAGAAGCCAACAAGGAGGCGCGCTGGAGTCACTTCCGCCCGGTTCACCTTCCCGCAGTCTGCAGCCGGAGTAAGATGGCGGCGCTGAGGGCTCTGTGCGGCCTCCGGGGCGTCGCGGCCCAGGTCCTGCGGCCTGGGGCTGGAGTCCGACTGCCGATTCAGCCCAGCAGGTGAGATCGAGGGCAGCCCTCGACACACGTTCTCCAAGGCTAGGGTTTCTCAGGTTGGGGACGCTTTACTCCCCCAGAAAAGAATAACCCAAGACTGTGACCCCATCGTCCATCCCTGATTTCTTGGGCTACAAGATGCGGTGGCGCCCACTCTGGCGAGGGAGGGGAGAGGGTCTAGAGTTCGTTCAGTCCAGAGGTGAAATCAGCGGAGTGGGAGACTCTGCTTTTTAGCTTCCGTAATTTGAATGCACCTCTCCTGTACCTGAGTAAAACTCAGCCAAAGAGCCAGAATGCTCGCTGTCTCTGTCGTTGACCTTGAATAAACACTTTTCTCACGTTCATGTTCACCTGGTTGATAATATCAATACGATGAAAATATAAAGAAGCTAGGATTCCAACCTTGCATGCCCAGGGGTGATGGGTGAAGTTATTCCAGGAATAATTTGTTAGTAGGAATTGAACCTTTAGAGTTCCAGCTTATTTTGCCGAAGCTACATTAACTTCAGATCAGTGACTTGGCATTAAAAAAATCCAGGACAGTGGCCGGGCGCGGTGGCTCACGCCAGTAATCTCAGCACTTTGGGAGGCCTAGGCGGGCAGATCATCTGAGGTCGGGAGTTCGAGACCATCCTGACCAACATGGAGAAACCCCATCTCTACTAAAAATACAAAATTAGCCGGGCTTGGTGGCACATGCCTGTAATCTCAGCTACTTGGGAGGCTGAGGCAGGAGAATCGCTTGAACTCGGGAGGCGGAGGTTTCAGTGAGCCGAAATCGTGCCATTGCACTCCAGTCTGGGCAACAAGAGCGAAACTCCGTCTCAAAACAAAAACAAAAACAAAAACAAAACAGGACATCCTTCCTGGGTCCCCTTGAGGGTAAATGGGAACACAGGAACCACACACTGTTCAGGCCCTTTGTCTAGGATTTGTCTTTAACTCCCCAGAGGTGTTCGGCAGTGGCAGCCAGATGTGGAATGGGCACAGCAGTTTGGGGGAGCTGTTATGTACCCAAGCAAAGAAACAGCCCACTGGAAGCCTCCACCTTGGAATGGTGAGTGATCAGAGTTGCTGTCCCAACCCACACCCATCCCTGACCCCAGCTGATTTCCTTTTCTTTTTGTGAGACAGGGTCTCCCTCTGTCTCCCTGGCTGGAGTGCAGTGGTGGGAAAGTGGCTCACTGTAGTCTTGAACTTCTGGGCTCAAGGCAACCTTCTGTCTCAGCCTCCCCAGAAAGCCGCAGCAACAGGCCTGTGCCACCACAACTGGCTAATTTTGAAAGTTTTCCTTTTGTAGAGACAGGGTCTTGCTGTGTTGACCAGGCTGGTTTCAAACTCCTGGCCTCAGGTAATCCTCCCAACTCAGCCTCCCAAAGTGCTGAGATACAGGCTTGAGCCACCATGCCTGGCCTCCAGCTGATTTCTAAGTGCTCTTGAACTCTCTGTCTTAGGCAAGTTTTAGCCCCTATCCTGTTTGTTTCTTTCACGATGAAATTCAAGAGACATAATAGTGATAATAACAGGTATTTGTGAAGTAGAGAAGGAAAGGAAGGATGTTGCAGAAGAAAATAAAGAATGGGTCCCAGTAAATACCCAAAAGTCCTTATCAATGTAAATCTTAATGCCAGCTTTTCCCATGTTCAATACACGTAAGGTTCACTACATTATCTCCCTCTCCAGACAAGGTGGTGGTTTTCCCGTTGGTACCCAAATGAAACCTATGTGAATACAAACCATTTTTTTCCTATGAAAACTAGCTCTTCCTCTTGACTTTTAATTTTGATCATTGGGACCCTCATTCCCCTAATCCCTCAGGATTGAAACTTTGTAGTCATCTTTGACTGTTTTATCTTGCCCTCCATGTCTATGTCCAGTAAGTTACCAAACCATGTAGATTCTTTCATAATGTCTCATATCTGTTCATCTCTCCTTAATTTTCGTTGCCATCATTCTTATTCAGAGTTATCTTGTATTAGACCCTGATTATTTTAGGAGTCTATTTACTGAGTTTTTGCCACTGATGTTGTCCCCTTTCTATATATCCTATACAATGTCATCACCTTCATCTTCCCCAAACATTATTTTACCATGTTATTCATACTCTTGCTCAAAAACCTTCAGACACTTGCAGTTACTTTCTACAAACTTACAGTAACAATAGCTGAGTGCTTACCATTTGCCAAACATTTTCGTATGCATTATTTTGTTTAATCTTTACAACAGCTCTATGAAAGTATTACCCCAGTTGTGAGGAAAGTTTGGTCTAGGGAGATTAAAACTTGATTAAAGGCCGGGCGCGGTAGCTCACACCTGTGATCTTAGCACTTTGGGAGGCTGAGGTGGGCGGATCACCTGAGGTCAGGAGTTCAAGACCAGCCTGACCAGCATGGTGAAACCATGCCTCTACTAAAAATACAGAAATTAGCTGGGCGTGGTGGCATGCACCTGTAATCCTAGCTACTCAGGAGGCTGAGGCAGGAGAATCACTTGAACCTGGGAGGTGGAGGTTGCAGTGAGCTGAGATCGTGCCATTGCACTCCAGCCTGGGTGACAGAGCAAAAAAAAAAAAAAAAAAGTTAAGGGCACACAGGCAGATTTGTACTCTTTGGGTCTGTCAGACTCCAAAGCCCATGATGAAGAATTTTGGTGGATAAGGTGGGCTCTGGTTTCAAATCTCAACTCTCAATTTACCAGTGAATAAAGCACCTATTTATAGCATTATTTTAAGGATTAAATGAGATAACATGTGCCTGGCACATGTAAGTCCCCTATAAGTGTTCATTGTTATCAATGATATGTACAGATAATTGAATCACTGCCCCCTAATTTGTCCCAATACTTATCATCCCTCTCTTGGAAAGTCTCAATAAGGGTTCCATGGATGTTTACTTCCTTGTTCCTAAGATTTGGCCCATGTTGATTTCATAGCCTGGAATGCCTCTTCTCCCTTCTAGCTATCTAAATCATTTCCTATATTTAAGCTCAGATCCTACCTACATGAAATCTTCCCAGTGTTCTTTCCTTTTTTAAAAAACTTAATGGCTAAGGCACTTTCTTGGTTACTTATAAATTTGACCTCTGTTCATAGTTTTTCACATGTACTTCTTTCCCAAATTAAAATGTAAGCTTCAGATTAGGTGGGCATGGTGGTGTGCGCCTGTGGTCCCAGCTACTCTGGAGGCTGAAGCAGAAAAATTGCTTGAATCTGGCAGGCGGAGTTTGCAGTAAGCCGAGATGGTGCCACTGCACTCCAGTCTGGGTGCAGCGTGAGACTCTGTCTCAAAAAAAAAAAAAAGTAAGCTTCTTGAGGGTAAAAGTTTGTTTAGTGGGAGTAAGCATTAGGTATACATTTCCTGACTGGTTGGCCATTCACTGGATACATTTGGAGGGCAGTATATCATAGTCGTTAAGACGTTTGGATCCTGGAGCTAAACAGGTTGGGTTAAAATCCTGGTTCTGCCACTTACTAGTTTTGTGATCCTGGAAAAGTCATTTAAGCTCCATGGCCTCAGTTTATCCAATAAAATGGAGATAATAATAGTACCTATTACTCATAACAGTTGTTGTAGGAATTAAATCAATTAAAGTGTCTAAGATAGTGGCTGACACATAATAAAGCTATATAAGTGTTATCTATTATTAAAAAGATATTCTATGCACACCAACTATGAACCATGAAAAAAAGGTATTCTAGGACACACAGAGTGAGTGAGATTCATGATGTCTGTCATCAGAAAGTTTAGATCTTCCTTTTTCCCATCTAACGGTCCTCTTCTGGTTATAGTGGAGATTAGGAAATTAACAAAGTATGCAATGGTGAGTTAGAAGATCTATAGGAAGAGGCTAACTCCCTGCTGTCTTTTGGGGGATCCCAAGGGAATAACCATTTGGCTCTGAACTATTTCCTACTTCTCAGATGTGGACCCTCCAAAAGACACAATGGTGAAGAACATGACCCTGAACTTTGGGCCCCAACACCCAGCAGCGCATGGTGTCCTGCGACTAGTGATGGAATTGAGTGGGGAGATGGTGCGGAAGTGTGATCCTCACATTGGGCTCCTGCACCGAGGCACTGAGAAGCTCATTGAATACAAGACCTATCTTCAGGTGTGGGGGGCGAACAGGGGCCTTTTGGTGGGATCTGGGGCTGCTTTAGCCTGGGGTTTTGCCAGTTTGCTCCCCTTAAAACCTGAGGGGAAGAGGGTGTTGAGAGGAATAACCCGTTCAGGTTACTCTTGGTTGGGTGGATGGAGGGAAGTGGCAGGGGATGCTTGAGTCATCAGGAATTGGTTTATTCAGCAGCAGTGCTTTGAAGCTGGAGCTGCACTCAGCTTTTCTCTGGCTGACTTTTTGGCTGGCCCCTTTGCCATTACTTGAGTGCCTCAGTTTCCCTGCTCTTACGTTAGACTAGTGCGTCAAAGCCAGTGTCCCTAGGGGCAGGGAAAGAGAAGAGAGACGTTAACTCGCTAAGATTAACAGCTGATTCTTGTATCTTCCAGCTGTCTACGTTTGTTTTCAAAACATTCAATGAGTCAGAGCAACTGAGAGGGGGTTTATGACAGAGTTTGCCATTTTTAGGAGAACTGTATGACCCAAATGATGAGGGTCAGATTTGAAGGAGTTGGATCTCTAATAGGAATCTGAAGTTTTTTTCTTCATGAAGAAAGGTCCTGATAACAGGATGATAGGATTAGGATTTAGATCCAGCCCAGTGTCGGGGTGAACAGTGACTAGAATGTGATTCCCCAAGAGAGTCTCAGCGATGACATTTTCTGGTCCCGGAGTCTATGGGTTAACCCCTGTAGCATTAGCCCCTGTCACAGTGACATCAGAATAAGAACAGGCTGTCCCAACTAGTAGCATCTTAGCTCCACCCTCTTCCTGGAAGCTGAAGCTGGTTCAGCAGACAGCTCGGAATTAGCATTTTGGCATTCTGGAGGAAGGACCATTTCTACCTGGTGCTCTGTCTTCCTTAAATACCTCACTCTGGTCAGGTGTGGTGGCTCACGCCTGTAATCCCAGCGCTTTGGGAGGCGGAGAAAGGTGGATTACTTGAGGTCAGGAGTTCGAGACCAGCCTGGCCAACAAGGCAAAACCCCATCTCTACTAAAAATACAAAAATTAGCCAGGTGTAATGGTGTGTGCCTGTAATCCCAGCTACTCGGGAGGCTTAGGAAGGAAAATCACTTGAACCCGGGAGGCAGAGGTTGCAGTGAGCCAGGATCGTGCTACTGCACTCCAGTGCCTGGGCAACAGAGCAAGACTGTCTCAAAAAAAAATAAAAATAAAAAAATAAAAAAAACCCCTCCCAGATTTTTT